CTCTATCACTCGCTCTGTCTCTCCTCTGACTGTCACTCTTACTCTACCTCTCCCTCTCCCTCTCCCTCTCCCTCTCCCTCTCCCTCTCCCTCTCCCTCTTCCTCTCCCTCGACCTCTGCCTGTCTCCCTCTCTCCCTCTCCCTGTCCCTCTCCCTCTCCCCCTCTCCCTCTGTCTCCCTCTCCCTCTCCCTCTCCCTCTCCCTCTCCCTCTCTCTCTCTATCTCCCTCTCCCTCTCCCTCTCTCTCCCTCTCTCTCTCCGCGCGCGCTCCTCTCTCTCTCTCTCTCTCTCCCCCTCCCTCTCGCTCTCCCTCTTACTTCCAACCGCCAGCACACCGCCAGACGGGCCAGCCTCCTCCTCCGCGGCCAGGGGCCTGCGCAGCCGCCCACGCCGTCTGCTGCGCAAGCACAGCCAAGTGGCGTGCGGGGTGTGCACGTCTAGATCTCGCACAGCCACGCGGCGGTAGACAATCAGCACGGCCACGTTCGCCAGGGCAAACGGCGAGAGGCAGGGTGTACTCGCTGATGATGCTAGCGACGAGGAGCCGAAGGTACCACGGTGTGAAAAGCTGCGGCCGAGAAGTGGGAGGCCGTCAGTGGTGGTGTGAGTGAGACGTGCTCCTTGCGCCGGCTCAACGCGCCTCTCTTCGTTAGCGTCAACGTCGACGCGGGAGCCTGGCTGGATGTCGGTGCAGTGCGCATGTCAGGTATGTATTGTCAGCGCGCGGGTATGGCGTGGGTGCCGTGAGGGTGGGCATGCGCGTGCGACATCAATCGCCAGCAGCGTAGCTGCGGGGGAGCGGGCAGGATGCACCATGCACCACGAGCCACGAGGCAGCTGCGGTTTGACGCTACAGAATGGGAGAGTCCGACAATTGCCCAAGTTGCCGTTTACTATTCCGCCTTTCTTTGCGGAAATTGCGGAATATGCGGAAAGTGCGGAAAACAATTCGTGGGCAGGGCGTTACAATCCTGCTTCTTTCTTTCTTGGGCTTTAAAATACCCCTCAGCAGAGTCCTTCCTCCTACGTATCTGAAAGTAAGAGCACATAACACTGTCTGTCCATCTGTGGCGAGGATATCGACTACCTTCCTTGCCCTCTACCTCTGGGATGGGAAGGAGTGAGCCTACCAGGTGGCCTTGAAGCAACTTTCCGCACCGCCTCACGCATCTGCTGATGCGGCCCAAGCTTGCCGCGTTCGGACTCAGGGCCGGTGCTTTGACGCAGTATATTGTACTTCGAGGTAGTATGAACTCAGAACGGCCCCCCGAGAGCGCCTCTTCGACGCCCACGGGTCCCGGGGGGTCGGAGGGGTTGCGAGAAGGCCTTGGCTATTTTTTGTTTGAATTCTGGAGGCCGTTCAAACATGTAACGTGCGTTCCACGTGCCCGTCCCCAGCAAGGACAACATGCTAGCCCAGCAGGCCGCTCCCACCGCCGCCCGCGGCGGAGGCAAGGCGGCAAAGGGTGGCAAGGGCGGCGGCAAGGGCGCTGGCAAGGGTGGTGGCCGTGTGGCGCACCAGACCCGCTTTGCGCCGCCGCCCTCAACGCCCGATACTCGGTTGAGCCGGCGGAGCGACGGCGGCAGAGTTGCGGCCGCCGGCGACCTCACACGGCGTCGAGCGCCGTAGAGACGGCCCCGAGAGCCGCCGCCAGGTGTGCCACGACCGCGGTCGCGAGGCTCGTGGCGATAGATGCGCCAGACCCGCTTGCGCCGCCGCCCTCAACGCCCGATACTCGGTCAGTAGCCGGCGGAGCGACGGCGGCGGAGTTGCGGCCGCCGGCGACCTCACACGGCGTCGAGCGCCGTAGAGACGGCCTCGAGAGCCGCCGCCAGGTGTGCCACGACCGCGGTCGCGAGGCTCGTGGCGATAGATGCGCCAGACCCGCTTGCGCCGCCGCCCTCAACGCCCGATACTCGGTCAGAGCCGGCGGAGCGACGGCGGCGGAGTTGCGGCCGCCGGCGACCTTCCCCTCGACCACGCCGCCGACCCGTCGACAAGCACACGCGGACTGCCATCGAGAAGAAGGAGAAGGATGGCGGCGCATCCGGAGCCCGCGGGCGCAGCGGGCGCGGGTCCGGGCGCGGGCGGGCGCGCGGGAACCCCGCCAGCGGAGGCGACAATGCCTCTGGCGGCTCTGCAGGCGGCGCGCGGCGCGCCCCTCGCCGGTCTCCCGCACGATCCTGAGGGCCGAGAGGGCCGAGAGGCGGGGTCGGTGACCCGGGGGCATGGGCGGTGCGGCCCGCGCCGCGCGCGGGCGCGTGGCAGCCCGTGAGGGCCGAGATCGCGTCCGTACTTCGACGTAGTATGGGCCCCCGGGGGCCCTCTACAGCAGCGGCGAAGTGAGCGTGTTTGTGGTGTTGGTGTGGCGTCTGAGCTTGGATCTGTGACTAAAGCCGGTTACCACTGATGGATCCCCACCCGAATAACACACAGTGAGCGCCCCAGCGCTTCACTACGCCCTCCGCGCGAAATCGCTAGTGGTGCTTTGTGGTAGTATATTGTACTTTTGAGTAGTATGGGTACGGTTCCCGAGACCGCGTTAGCACTGCATCCGGCGCGGGCACCCAACGCGCTTCATTGCTGCCCGGTACGACTGTACTGATCTGGCTTGCGCACCAGTGCTGGCAGGCTCACACCATAGTGCTCCCTTGCCTGCTGGTTGTATGTAGGCAACAATACCCTTGGCCTTGCTGGCAAGCTTCACCTCGCGAGCTGCCTCGATGGGGTGCCGAGGCATAGAGATTAGAGTCTCGCCTACACTGCGGCACAGACACCTGATGAGGACAGCATGATACCACATGAATCTGCCCAGTTGCAGCAAATTCTACTGAACAGTTGTGAGTTGAGGGCTGGCGAGAGAGACCGTTACAGTTGTAAGGAGCGCGAAACGCGCGAGGAAGCCGCGGGCTGCGGGCTCATAAGAAGAAAAAGTTCTGGAAAGCGAGACTCCTTGTTATCCATAAAAGAGCCACATACACTGATATGTCAACCGGCGCAGATATGCGACGAGAGCCGGCGCCGTTTTTCATTGCCTGATTCTAACGAGACACAGAGCAGCGGCACGGGCGTTGCCGATCGAACACGGATTGCTGAGGGTCATGCACAATTCGTGCGGTTATGGGCTGCAAAACATGCAAACGACAGGCCACGCCACGTGCGCCACCATATCCAGCTGCGCAGCGGCAACGACTGCCGAGGCGCAGGCCGAGCCGCAGCCTACCGATGCCCCGCCGACATGCGGCATTGGCCAAAATGCTGGGCATCTCAGGTTGAGGAAGGCAACTTGAAATAGCAAGGAGCATCCTAGAATGCAAAGGGGTAACTCCAGATGCTAGCGCATTCACGAATGCAGTTCGCATTCCAGGATGGTCGACGCATCCTGGAATGCGTGGACCATCTTTGGAATGCGGTGTGCATCTTGAAATGCGAAAAGTCAACTCGGCATTCTGAGTTGAAAAATGCAATCTGAATTGATTTTTTGCAACTCAAAATGCCCTCAGCATCTCAAATTGCGGGTTCCCCGCCCCTGACGCGTATAGCTATATAGGGTGTGACACAGCTCACAGAACGACGGACGACGGCGCGGCCCGGGCGGACCGCGCGGTGCGTGGCTCCTCCTAGGGAGAGCGCGCCGTGCGCGCACGTGCCGCTCTCCATACCCTCTCCGGCCGACTGACAACACACCGGGGCCGAGCCGCCGGCCAACGCCCCGATGCCGGTGCACGGCGAGGAGCTGCGCGTTGGTAGGAAGGAGTCCTCGACACACACACGACACTCAGCCAGCGCTGGCTGCCACACATCCCGGGTGAGCGCGTACGGCACCACGTCACTCGGCAGCAGGCCACTGTGGAGCGCCACGACGGTCAGCGCGTGCCCAATGTGGAGCACGCTGACCGTCGACTGCTGACCGAGCAAGGTCAGGCCCAGAGTCAGTCAGTCAGTCAGTGTTACACACGTCCTAGCATGGACGACGGGGCACACGCACTCGCGGAACACAGGGCATTACACACGAGGCGTTGTGTGTGCGTTCGCAGGGAAAGGCATCACCACAGACAAAAGCAAGGTCAGGCCCAGAGGGGCACTCAGAATGGGAGCCACCCCGAGCGCTCCTCGGCCTGCCTTCGCAGCGCCTTTGCGGTGTGGAGGAAGTCGGTGGCGGCGTCCGCCAGGTCCTCGGACTTCTCCGCGAGCCTAAGACCGCCACTCTGAACAGTAAGTCTCCGCGGCCGCGGCCGCGCGGCTTTGCGTGGCAGCGCCGCCCGCTGATCTTCTCTCCCCGCTCGACGAGAGCCTGCCGGTTGTCCGACGACACTGCAACCGCCGCGGCAAGGGGAATCTCCGCGTCGGCGCGGGTGGTCATGACCCAGTCCTCGTCAGCTGCGGCGTGGTGGGCAGGCCGAGGCGCATCGAGGGCCTCCACGTACGCCTCCAGTTTGCTGCGCGCAGCCGGGGGCGGGTAGGCGTAGAACTGCAGGCCCTTGCGCTCCTCGTCCTCCCACGGCATACCCGTATGAAAGGTTAACTGCCTCAGCTTCGGGTGCCAGTAGTCAAAGACGGGCACACGGCCAGGTCCTGGGTCGGGAAACGCCCAAAACTGTAAGCCCTTTCGCTCTTCGTGTTCCCAAGGCTCGCCCGTGTGAAACGTGAGCTGTCGCAGCCGAGAATGCCAGAAATCGAACACAGGAACCGCGCCTTCAATTTCGCGTGCGAGCGCCACGAACTGAAGGCCTTTGCGCTCCTCGATGCCCTCCCACGACGCACCAGCGTGGAAAGTCAGCTGCCGGAGTTTCGGGTGCCACCAGTCCCACACCTCAACGCGGTCCTTCACGCTTGCCATCGATGTTCTTTGCTGGGCGGCAAGGTCGTCGTCGTCCCAGCGAGCGAGCGGCGTGCGCGCAGGCGAGCGAGCAGCGTGCGCACGCAGCAGCCCCCGGAAAAAGAAAAGCGCGCACACAACAGAAAAGAGTTTTGAAGCGTGGTTTATTGATGATGATAGCATTATTGATGATGTCGCTCCGTCTCCGCGCTCCTGATCACTTTGCCTTGTCGCCGCGCCCACGCGGGCGACGCGGCCCGGCCGGATGCTTGGCGCACCGCACAGCTTGGTTGGTGCACCACCACGGGCGAAAAACGCTGGTATTGCTAAAAATCTCTCTCCGAGGATCGAGAGCAGTACCGCCACGAGCTCGGCGCCCAGCGCGCCGTCTACGAGCCGTGGGCAGCAGAGCGGGCGCGGGCGCGACGCGCGGAGGCGGAGGCGAAGCAGGCGCGGGAGGAGGAGGCGAGGCGGCAGGAGGCGGTGCGAGAGGAGGAGCGGCGTAGGCTGTCGGCGGAGCGCGAGGCGGCGAAGGAGGCGGCGCGAAGGCAGGCGGACTCGGCTCTTGTCGAGCGGCTGCTCTCGCAGGCGCAGCGGCCACGCATTACCGAGAGCGACGCCGCCGATTGGCCGCCGCCGTACCCGTACCAGCGGCGGTGCAGAGGGCATGCGTGCGCGTGCAAGCGGTACGTCTACATGTCGCACCTGGCCGACTTGTGCCCGCGCCGCTGCAAGCTCAAGGACCCGTTCGCGTGCCGAGGAACCCACAAGGATCCGTGGGCGTGCGAGAGCCCGTGCGACGGCGAGCGGGTCCACTTCTCGATGAGCTTATGGTACGCGCAGGTCACCGGTGAGCCGTGGCTACGAGATTCAGGTCCGATTTGAGGCGGCCTTCTCGCGGTGGCGACCGCTTGCGTGGCGATGTGACCGGCCGAAGAGGCCTCGCGTGGAGGATGGCGATGCGAGTGGGTCGGAGGGTGACGACGAGTAGCTTTGGTGACGGATCTCTGACTCTGTAAAGTGTACGTGTACCTACAGTATGTTGACTATTTCGTTTGTAGGTTAGCATAGGACTTGTTGCGAGCTGTAGCTTGTCAGCTTGCTGGGCCGCGAAGCGCCCTAAAATTTTCAGCGTTACTACATACATACATACCTCTCGCTGAAAATTTTAGGGCGCTTTAATTCTCACTCGAATCCGGAATGCGTGTGCGTAGTACGTGGTGCGTAGGCCCTCTCCGACACCTTGGGCGTGCGAATGCATAAAACGTACCTCCTATTAACGTACTTGTGGCGGTTTCGTGTTCACATGCGCAGAGTATGCGACGCTCGTTCTTACGCTCGGCCGCAGCCATCGGCTCGCTGGCTGGACTGCGGACGCTTGGAAGGACGAGCTGTCAGCCCGCTCTGCCTTCGCCAGACACGCCAGAATCGCGACCCGTGCGCGGAGACGAGGACAGCCGCCGCTGCACTCGGCTTGCGCTCATGGACATGTGCCAGCACGAGGGCAAAGGCGCCAACATGCTACAGATTCTTGCCGAGCGCGGAGCCGAGTCGATCGTGGATCTTCGGTCGCCGAGCCGCAAACTGAAATGCAGCCAGAACGCCTCCGACTATGCTGATGCTCTCCAAGCGCTCGGCGCGGCGGGCGTGCAATACACGTGCATCGACTTGCCGGAGGGCGATGATGCCCAAGCGATTGCAAACGAAGTTTTACCTTTGATGCGGCCGCTGGGAATCCAAGCGGTGATCAACGGCAGCTTTGACGATGTCGTCGAGGTGGCAGACCTCATTTCTGAGCGCCTTTGCCCTGAGACCACAAACGGTTACCGCCTCAGCGAGGCGCGACACGATAAGGCGCGGATGCATGAGGTTGTCGACGAGGCCGGACTGAGGTCCTTGCGGTCTGTCGAGGTTCACTCGTACGCCGCCGCGGTGGCCCACATGCGAGAGGGGCGCGCAGCTTGGCCGGTGGTGCTCAAACCCCGCCGCGCGGGCGGCACCTTCGGCGTCAGCGTGTGCCACAACGAAGATGAGCTGCGTTCCGCGATCGAAAACACCATCGGCAAGACGAATCCGTTAGGCGGCACGATTGACACGCTCCTGCTGCAGCCTTACGTGCGCGGCACAGAGTACGTGGTCAATGTGGCGTCGCGCAACGGGACGCACATGGTGACAGACGCGTGGATGAGCCAAAAGAAGTGCAGCGGCTCACTCATCCTCTACCAGCGGGAGGACCTGGTGCGATCCTCGTCCGACGTGCAAGGGGTTGTGGACTATGTGAAGCAGACGCTCGATGCCCTCGGCATCCGAAACGGGCCTTCGCACACTGAGGTGATGCGCACCGACGAGGGCGAGGTGGTCCCTCACCACCACCGTCCGGCGCACCCTCGCCACCACCATCCGACGTGCCCTCGCCGCCACCATCTCCTGCTGCGCCCTTGCCACTGCCACCGTCCTTTGCGCCCTTATCACCGCCTGCTGCTGCCTCGCCGCCGCCAACGGGCGACACCATTGAAGATGATGACGAGCCCGCTGCTGATGCGGGCGAAATCGGTTCAGGCGACAACGGCATGGACGACGTAATTGGCGATGCCGCCTCGGGCGAGGTCGCTATCGATGCCGGCTCGGGCGATGCCGGCTCGGGCGATGCCGGCTCGGGCGATGCCGGCTCGGGCGATGCCGGCTCGGGCGATGCCGGCTCGGGCGATGCCGGCTCGGGCGATGCCGGCTCGGGCGATGCCGGCTCGCCCACCAGTTGTTTGTGTGCTCTCATCTTTTAACTGCCCATCCAATATATTTGTTCCGAGAGTGAATCTGAAATCTTTCTTGGCGAGCTGTGCTGATCCGGATGGTCTCACCCGGTGGGAGGCACCGAGGCGTCTAGGGCGCTCCACTCTACCTTAGCTCCTGAGGGGCGCGTGGTTTCAACCACGTAGTATGACTACAGCCCACGCCACAGACACCCTCCCCACTCCTCAGACACGTGTGCACTCCCTCACCCTCTCCTCTCTCCTCTGTCTCTCCTCTGTCTCTCCTCTCCTTGTCTGTGCTGTCTGCCTGACTCAGGCACTCAATCTGCCGATGCGTGATTGTGTGTGGGCTGCTCCGAGAGGGCCCTGTGCGATCCGACGGGTAGGGAGTCTGTGCCCGGGCGGTGTCCGGTGCGGAGTCTCCTTCTGATCCCGCCTGTGATGTTGGGTGTGAGGTTTGTGGCGGCTTCGAACCCAAGGGGGGGAGCTGATCCCACTCAGTAACCAACTCTCAGGGGCAGTAGGTGGGCGAGCCTCGAGCGCGCTCATCTCGATCGTCAAGGCGTCGCTACGCGCGGTCTTCCGCGGGGGGAGCTTCGTCGACGGGTGCGGGACCGCGGCGCAGCCAGCGTTGCGGCGATGCCTCCGGCTGCTGCGGCGAGTGGCTTGCTATATGTATCTTATTCGGACCCCCCTTGGCGCATTGTGATCCTTTCGTGCCAGGCTGCGGATTTCGGCCCGCCGTCCTCCGCTCGCGGCCGCCGCCCATGCGCTCGCGGGGCTACCCGACGCGGCTGGCCTCGTGCGATGGACCCAGCCGAGGTGCCCAACCAGTTGGAGCGGCGCCGACGCGCTGCGCGCGACCACCAGCCAGCTTTTCGAGGGGCCCGAGGACGGTGCGCCGAAAGAGTAGACACTCTCCGGTCCATCCGGAATTTTGTCGTTTTAGTTAGCACTGCTGCTGCAGACAGGGCCCGCGCGACCCCATGCCCTTCCCGGATCTCGTGTCCTGAGGCGTGACGTCACCCCGGTGACCGCCCACAGGTGGCTGTTCGCGCGCATCGCTCACGACGCCTTTGCGCGCCCGGTTTTCAGAGGGCTCCTGCGGCTCTCTCTCGTCGCGTGACCGCCGCCGACATCATGTGCTCGGTCGTCCCCGCCGGCGCGGAGCTGCGCCACGTCGAATTGTTCGGTAACTCGACCGCCGGCGCGCCCACCCTCGCCTCCCGCGCGCCTCACACCCAGTATTCTCCTCGCGCGCGGCCGACAAAGTAGGCACACGACCACCTCCCTCCCACTCACCCCCCTCACGATGCACACCCCGTCCACTCTCGCCGGCAAGGCGCACGGAACGCCCAATTTGGGCTGGAAATGCCGCCGCCACGGGTTGGTGGCGCCCTCGGCAGCGGGGCAGCGCCACGCCGCGCAAAACTTGCGCGACAAACTTGCGACCTCTGTCCCTCGTATTCACCCCAGATTCTGCCCTATCCCGGCTCACCAGGTACCGCGAGCGGCGAGCCGCGCCAAGTTTGCTCCATTTCCGACAAGTTCATCCCGCCCGAACGCCGATCTTCGGCCGCCTGGAGGCCCAGGACGGGGCTCGGGACCGGCCAGGTGTGGAATCTCTACGGCGCTGCGGTGTATCTGCGCGCCCATGGCGCGTTCAGGGGTGCGCCGGAGGCGTGTGGACTGCGGGGCGCCGCGATAGCGCGGCGCCGACGATTGTGTCGGCTCACTGTCACACCGTCGACACGGTCACAGTGTGTGTGCAGTGCGTCCACTCCGGCGACCGTGACGCCGTCGGTTCTCGCCTATACCGGCTAGTGTGGAGCTCTCAGTGTGGTCGCGTGTTTTACTAGTGATGCTGCACTAGGCGGCCTGTTTTTAGCAAAAAGCAGATACCACATCGCGTGTGGTCGTCGAAAAACCGCATGTTCGCCCGTCTGGGACCTCTTCGTACGGCTCCAAAAACCGCTCCTTAACGACGACTACGCGGCCCGGCGGTCGATCTGCGCCTTCTCAGCGGTGGAGGGGATGTGGGCGGTACGTGCGAACCGCGTGGTGCTGCGATGGCTTGACGAGTGCGACTCCCAGCGTCGACTCTGCGACCCCACGGAGCCTCTGCTGCTCCGGGGGGGGGGGTCTGCAGACCACCCGGCCGAACTTCAGAGTCGCGGTGCTCCTCAAATACGGCTCAAACGCCCACGATGTTGTGGAGGGGACATATTCTGATGATCCTGGCCCGATTGGCTCGCTCAGAAAGCTTCTGGGCGATCGTTAAGGTTCGCTCCCCGCACACCGGCCCCGGAATAAGATACATCATATTGCTGCTCGCTGCGATTGCGAAAAACTCGTCTCGTCGCACACCTAGAGCTTATGCCCTGGCGAGATGTGAGGCGCATGCGCCCAGGAGGGGAGGGCGCATGCGTAACGACGCTGCTAGAGATGCCTTTCGGGGCCCAGAGATAAAACTTCTGATGCCATGCCGCGTGACCTAGTAGTGTCCCCAGCTATGGGCGTGTCCACGTGTTGGAGCCAGGTGTGGTGTGGGCGCGAGAATAGCTCCGCCGTTAATGGAGGCAACCGATGCGAGTCGACTGGTGTGTGTCGTCGTGGTTTCGTATCAAGAATACTCACTCACACTGCTAGTATGGGCACCCTCTAGAGATCACTACACTACTGATCCTGGTCATTAGAGCTGCCAGGGGGGTAGCGTCAGGAGCCGGTAGGAGTCAAAACCCCTCATATTTGAGACATCGTGGCCCATGTGCGCTCGCACAAGAACGAGCCAGTCACAGAGGGGTGAGCGGCACCGGCACCGGCTAGCGCAGGGCGGGCGGGGGCGGGCGGGGGCGGGGCAAAGGAGATCTGACCAGTTTTAACTAAAGACGACAGAGAGTGCAGTTTCAGCTGGTTTATAGTTCCAATTTTCTGAATTCTCCTGCTGTGCCACCGACCTTCTTATGGCCTCCACGCCCGACGCAGCATGTGCGCCGCGAGCTTCGGCTCTCTGAGCCGCGTGAAGACGCCCTTGTGGTTGAGGCCCGCGGCACGGAGGTGCATCTGCGGCGTCCGAAAGTCGGCGAGATTCCAGACGTGCACGCCAAAGACGAAGGGCAGCTTGCGCTCCAGCTCCGTGTACACCTCCAAGAGGCCCGCCTGGAACTCCTCGCTCCAGAGCCCCGGCGCCATCATGTGGCATCCCGGGAGCGTGTCCGCACCGCATTCGGAGACCATGATCGGCTTGCGAAAGTCGGCGTGCAACGCCACGAACCTGCGCATAAGATGCACCTCGGGGCGGGAGTACGGTGCTGTGCAGCGTACTCCTCGTGAAGACGAGGGGCTACGAAGAAACGAATACCGCGGAACATGGCAATACAGCGGGAGACGTGTCCTCTCGCGCCAGTTGGGGAGACAAGACAGCGTACTCCGCTTCTAGCGCCACGAACTTGGCCTCGAGCTGTCTCCCAATCTCGGCGAGCGGCTTGCCCACGTCGTAGTACCAGCCGACGTACTCGTTGAGCGAGAGAAAGTCACACGCGCGGTTGGCCTCGTCGCAATGCTCGGGGATGTTGGCAAACGTCACCAGCCGCGTGCCCTCCGCCCTTGCGAGCGCCACCAACTCGAGCAGCGCCTCCGTCTGCTGCCTCTTGGCCTCCGCCGTCGGCACCGACTGCGGCCCTCCCGGCTCGTTGCACACCTGGTCAAGCAGTAGCGTCTCAGTAGCGTCTCAGTCAATCCACCACGAACTACTTCCTGCGGTACATATCTCCCCGCATCTCCCCCGCTGATCTCCCCACATCTCCCGGCTCGTCGCACACCGACCCTATCTCCCCATATCTCCCCCGCTGATCTCCCCACATCTCCCGGCTCGTCGCACACCGACCCTATCTCCCCATATCTCCCCCGCAGATCTCCCCACATCTCCCGGCTCGTCGCACACCGACCACGCGACTACGCACGTGCGGCAGCAGTCTCGCGCCAACAGCTCGGCGAGCGCGCGCGTCGCCTGCGCCTGCCATGATACAGCCGAGATCGCGCGAGATCTCAGACTCTAGCATCCCTCCCTCCCTCCCTGCGCCTGCCGCTGCTGCACGATGGCGGGCGCGTCGGCGAACGACAATCCGACGCACGGAGACTCGGAGACGACCAGCAAGCCTGTGCTCACGGCAAGAGGTGTGAAGAGACGCTGCTCACAGCTGGCCTGCCGCGCGACGCATGTCGGACGCGCCTACTTGTGAGTACGCCGGCATGAGGGCGGGAGGACGGTATTGTGCAGCGCATTCAGAGCACGAGTCGGATACGGATAGGAACACAGTGAATACAGTGGAATGTAGCGGAGGCGGCGGAGTCCGTGTCCTCTCGAGCGCTGGTTCGGACACATGAATACGTACTCTTCTAGACCAGCAAGCCGTGCTCGTCGGCGAGGTCGAGGTCCACCTCCGAGTACGAGATTATTATTATCATCATTATTATTAATTATTATTGAGACGCTGGCGAGGGAGGTCCACCTCCGAGTACGGGTAGTGCGCGGTGCGGTACGAGTTGGCGCCTATTGGATTCGGGTACCGGGTTTGGTAGGGTAGGAACCCGGGTAGTGCGTGGTGCGGTACGAGTTAGCTGGCGCCGACCCACCGCAAGCACGCGTGGTCGCGCACAAGCACGGCGCCAACCTAAAGTTGATGAGTTGACTAGTCAGCCAATGGAGTACAAGGTAACTAGTTAAGGTCGCGCACGAGCGCGCGGCGCCAACCTAATGCATTCCTCAGCGGAGTGAGGGATGCTGTTGAATGAAGTTCGTCCACGAGGCGCGGCGCCAACCTCGGCGCGCCCCACCAGCGGGAAATCTTCGTGCCTACCCGACGGAGGCACGGGGAGATATGGCGAGATATGGCGAGATCGCCCCACCAGCGGGAAACTCCTTGTGCCGGCCAAACCCGCGCATCGACACGGGCTCGCCTATCAAACCGTTTGATTGGGTTCGGGCACCGGGTGGGGTAGGGTACTGCGGCTGGACACGGGTTCGCCGTTGAGGAGGAGGCCGTCGTCCGACGCCTCGACAGTCCGCAGTCCAAGCCGCTGCTCGTACGAGTCAATCGGGGCACCGTCGGCGTCCAGCGCCTCGAGGCGAAGTAAGGGAAGGGAGGGGAAGGGGGAACTTCTCCACGCACATGGGGTGGTGGGGCAAGGGCCGGGCTAGTCCCTCGCGACTCCACGTCTAGACGACAGGAGCCGGCACGGCATTCAGAGTGCAAGGCCGTGTGCGTGTGCGTGTGCGTGTGCGTGTGCGTGTGCGTGCGCGTGCGCGTGCGCGTGCGCGTGCGCGTGTGCGTGTGCGTGTGCGTGTGCGTGTGTGTGTGCCTCGAGGCGAAGGCGGTACAGGTACGCGGCGCCGGCCGCCCACAGAGTCGGCCTCAGCACGCGCACGGCGCAGCGCGCCTCGGCCGTCTCCGCATCGACTGTGCCGTCGGAGGCCTCGCCCGCCTCGACGCCGCCTTGTGCCAAGGCTCACCGCGATCCCGCAATCAACTAATTAATGAGTTAGAATCAGCGGATCGCCTTGTGTCCAGAGGCTCGCTCGCACACGGCTCACGCCGGTCCCGCAATCAACTAGTGAATGCATTCAAACTAGTTGATTGCCTTGTGTCCAGAGGCTCGCTCGCACACGGCTCACGCCGGTCCCGCAATCAACTAGTGAATGCATTCAAACTAGTTGATTGCCTTGTGTCCAGAGGCTCGCTCGCACACGGCTCACGCCGGTCCCGCAGCGGCAGCGCATTAACACGCTGGCGGCCGAGGCGGCGCCAGCGGTGAGGCCCTCTAGCCTGCGCGGTGGGTACGCCAGCGTGAGGGGCAGGAAGACGGTATGGTGCAGCGTGTTCACAGCACCGCGTGGGTCGAGGGTGTGTGTGTGTGTGTGTGTGTGTGTGTGTGTGTATGTGCGGGTCGGAAGACACAGAGAGTACGTGCTCCGCTTCTAGGCCCTCCAAGCCGGGTCTCGATCTTCAGCCCCTCCAGGCCGCTCGCCGGGCGCACGCAGAGCTGGACAGACCGCTGCACGCCGCAGAACGGGTAAAAGTCGAACGAGGCGCGCGGGAAGCAGCCCGGCGCCATCGCGCCCCACCCGCCGCCCGGAGGGACGTGGGTCGGTTCGAGGCGTCCGTCGACCTAGGGAAGTCCGCTCAGGAGGTGTGACCGCCCCGTCGGAGTGTCTTGTCTTGTGTGGCCATCAAAGCCCGTCTAGCGTCCACCCATCCCGCGCCGGTGTCCCAAGTGTTGGTCGGGTTGTGTCTCGCCTAGATCTATTTCTATCGCCGACCCGCAGCACGAGCAAGTTTGGCTCGCCGGAGGAGCGGAGGAGGCACGTCACGTCCACCTCGAATGGGAGATGCCCGCCCTCGTGTGCTCCGGCTCGCTCTCCGTTGAAGTACACCTCGCACGAGTAGTTGACGCTTCCGAAGCGGAGGCAGACGCGCTGCCGAGGCGTCAGCCCAAGCGGCGCCCAGACGGTGCGCTCGTACCACGCGGGCCCGAGAAACGAGTCGAGCTCAGGGAGCTGCTCGTTCCACGAGGCAGGGACGGCGATGGGCGTGCGGCCGCTCTCGGGCAGGCCACTGCAGAAGCCGCTTGCATGTCCGTCGTCTTTGTGGTCGGCGATGAAGGCCCAGAGTCCGTCGAGTTGCGTGCAGCGGCGGTGAGCGCTGTCAGAAGGCCGCAACGTCCCCCAAGTGTCGGCCATGTGACCTCGAGGGAGCGAGCGAGGAGGAAGCGGGCGCGAGGGCCAGACAAAAGATTTTAAACAAAACAACTCTCTCTGGGGCTAGGGCTCTAGAGAGAGAGAGAGAGAGAGAGAGCTGCTGCGCGCACGCGGCGGCGCCGCTCTCTCGCGAGACGGCTGGCGACGCGGCTCGCCGCCGACGTACGGTGCGCTCGTCCGACGGTCCGCGGCGTGGCGTGCGCGGCGCTGAGCGCCGCTCTGCGAGCGCCTCTGCGCCTGCACTGCCTGTCTCTGTTGCTGGTGGTGGTGGTGGTGCTGCTGCTGCTGGTGCCGATGCTGCTGCTGGCGCGGCGCGGATGTGCGACTGGGCTCGACGCGCGCGTCGCGAGCGTCTGACGCGGCGGGCGGCGTCGGGCAGGTGCGCTTCTCTCTTTGGTGGTGGTGGTGCTGCTGCTGCTGCTGGTGGTGGTGCAGATGCTGCTGCTGGTGCGGTGCGGCTCTTCGACTCGACTCGGTGCGCTCGTCGCGGCGATCTGACGCGGCGGGCGGCGTCGCGGGCGGCAGCGATCGCGGCTCGAAGGTGGAGGTGGAGGCTGGAGGCTGTGGTGGACTTTGAGTTTATTTCATGGTCGTGTACGGGGACCGGGGGGTCAATCACGTGCCACTGGCACTGCCAGCTTTTGAGAGCAATTTGAGCAAAAGAGTTTACTTTTTCGCAGCATTTAGGATATTAAAGGTTTTAGCAACACCGCTCAATACCAAACAACTCACTTAGAGCGTAGTGCAACACACTAAAGCCGCACACACACTCCTCTCCTTAAAATTCCTGTGTGGTAGCGGCGTGCCGTCCTCCCATCCCTCACCTGGCGGCGGAGCGACTGATCGGTATTGTTTGTCTGTCAGTGTCTCTCCCACACGCCCACACACGCCACGGCGCGCGACATTCATCTCCCACGCTGCGTTTCGTCCATTTAGTTGCGGTTGCGCCGTCGACCCTGGGGTGTCGTGCACGGGGCGCCACTCACCACTTAGCGCTACGGTCCGCGTTCTGGTTGAGGCTCGCGGCCCGCTGAGGCAGCCTCTTAGCCGCGACTCTTGGGGCAGCAGTAAAGGTGGCAGTCAGTCCGCGCACGTCATCCCTTTTATGCCAAGGTATTCTGTGGGGCACATGCGGTGCGACTCGCACATGAAAGGGGTGTCGATGCACCCCAGGGTCCCGATGCTGTCGACAAAGATCGCCAGCGGGCACGCCTGGCACGCGCTGAGCGCCTCGCTCTCTTGAGCCGTGACGTTTCCGAGGAGCGTGTACGTGAATGCCATCTTGTCGGGCTCGTTCTCGAAGAAGGTGTGCGACTGGAGCGTCACCGGGATGGAAAACACGTTCTCGTCTTGGGTGCAGCTTTGCGCGGTGAGGGTGAGGACCGCATTCGGAGGGATGTGGTCGTCCTCGCTGTCAAAGATGCCCGCCACCGTCGCCAGGGTAGTCGAGAAGGCCTCGCGCCTCGGGCGATCCGTGAAGGCGATGACGTTCTTTGTCTCCTGCATGACAAAGCGGGAGCCAGTTTGCGAGCCGGTGAAGAGCCCGGTGGCGGAGAACAGCCACGTTCCAGACTCGGGCTCTGGAGAAGGCGCAAAGGCGCTGGCGCGCAGCGCGCAAGCGATGAGGATGATTGTCTTCATGATGCGCGAGCAAAGACTGGAAGCAGCCGGCACACGTGGTTTTCTTTCTTCCCCCCGGTTATCTGGCCCGCTGGGTGCGCTTCTTAGCTCGCGGGTATGTGAGGCTACTGACTGCACTCCAACTGCTCCAAGATATCAATCAGGTGAGTGAGTCCAAGGGAATCTTCCGTCCTCCTACGTGGTATTTAACTCTTTGTGTTCGCTTTTGAGAAGAAAATAAATGAGAAAAAGAATGCGTGGTCATGACATGTCCACCATGTCGGCGCTGCTGAGGCTGTGCCGGCTCGCGGGGTTGGCCTCTCACTGTGCTGGCCGCGTCGGAGGGGGAGACGGCGTGGAGCGTCGAGGCCAACAACGCGCTCGCCGAGGCGGATAGGCTGCAGCAGCAGAAGCGATGGGCGGATGCGATCACGTACTACAAGCGCGTGCTCGCCGTCTCTCCAAACCCGCCAAACTTCCAAAAGTACATTGTGCTCAACAACCTCGGGTGGTCGATGATTGTACCACACGGACCGCTGGGCTGAGGCGGAGCACTACTACCACCTCGCCCTCGCCGCCGTGCCCAATAAGCCGCCGACGGACCACGCGCACATCAACCTGGCGACGCTCTACACAAAGACACACCGGCCGGCGGAGGCGGTGGCGTCGTACCGGGCGGCGCTGAGTGAGTATTCTTGATACGAAACCACGACGACACACACCAGTCGACTCGTATCGGTTGCCTCCATGAACGGCGGAGCTATTCTCGCGCCCACACCACACCTCGTGGCTCCAACGTGGACACGCCCATAGCTGGGGACACTACTAGGTCATGCATGGCATCAGAAGTTTTATCTCTGGGCCCCGAAAGGCATCTCTAGCGGCGTCGTTACGCATGCGCCCTCCCCTCCTAGGCGCATGCGCCTTGCTTCTAAGGAAGCCGTCGCCTGCGCCTTGTCTGTCGTGTGAATCGTGCGTGTGCGAAAGGCTTTTGTTGGAAAATTCTTTTGTTTATGCTTCTAAGGAAGCCGTCGTCTGCGCCTTGTCTGTCGTGTGAATCGTGCGGGGGCGAGAGCCTTTGGTGCTATTTTTTCTTTTTCTCTGTGGAAGCTTCTCGAGGCTCGTCGACCGCGCCGTCTGACACCATGCGTGCCACCGCTGCATCTACCGCCGCAGCGGATGCCAGCCCGCCGCCTCCTCCTCCTACCGTGCTGATCCCGGGGTTCCTGAGCATGGGCGACTGCTGGTCGTCCGGCGAGCTGGCGGCGCGCGACGGCGCGCGCGCCTTTCTCCCCACCCACCCGGGCCCGCTCTCCTCGCACCACGACCGGGCGGTCGAAGTGTTTTACCAGCTCGTCGGGGGCACGGCCGACTACGGCGCCGCGCACGCGGCAGAGTGCGGCCACGCGCGGTACGGGCGGACGTACGGCGGCCTCTATCCGGAGTGGAGCGCCCGCCGTCCCGTCGACCTCCTCGGCCACTCCATCGGCGGCGTGACGGCGCGCGTGCTGCTCGACCTCCTCCGCAGACGGTGAGACACTTCCGAGACACTTCCGAGACGCTTCCGCCTCTCCGCTCTCACCGGGCGAGACACTTCCGAGACACTTCCGAGACACTTCCGAGACGCTTCCGCTCTCGCCGGGCGAGACGCGCTCTGCCTCGCCCGTCCAACTGTATGAAGCGTGCGCGCATGGTGCGTTACGACCCCTCGCCTCTGCGTCTCCCCAGCGCGCCGCCAAAGCGCGTACCCCCCCCCCCCCCACAGTGTACCCCCCCCCCCCACACAGTGCCTTCGCCTCGCACCCGCAAACCTCGGCGGCGTGGGTGCGGTCGCTCGCCGCCCTCTCGTCTCCTCTGAACGGGGACCCGGTCACCTTTGCCCTCGGCGCCTGCCCTCCGCCGCCCGCCGCGCCGACGGTCCTTCCCCCCACGCCGACCACGGCCTCAGTCCTGCACGCGCGGAGCGGCGGCGGCGAGGGCGGCGGCGGCGAGGGCGGCGGCGGCGGCGGTGGTGGCGGCGGTGGTGGCGGCGGTGGTGGCGGCGGTGGCGGCGGCGATGAGGGTGCGGGCGGCGGCGGTGAGGGCGCGGGCGGCGAGCCGGAGCGGCTAGGCGGAGCCGCCGACGCGCCGTCGCCGCCGCTGGAGATTCGCCCGCTGTCGGCGGGCTGGGCGCTGACAGTGGGCGCCGAAGCGCGTACGATGCGCAAAGACATGTGTAATGCACACATACACAGACGCACAATCTTACACCCGCCCTCCCCTACCCCACGGTAACCGAACCCGCCCTCCCCTACCCCACGGTACCCGAACCCACCCTCCCCTACCCCACGGTACCCGAACCCGCCCTCCCCTACCCCACGGTAACCGAACCCTCCCTCCCCTACCGCACGGTACCCGAACCCACCCTCCCCTACCCCACGGTAACCGGACCCACCCTCCCCTACCCCACGGACCCGAACCA